GTCCATCTGGGGTCCTCGGGGTCCTTGTGGGTATAGAACGGACGGGCATTTGTGGGGAAGCGGTCGAGAACGTAGTAATCGGTGTTGTACTTCTCCCTGACAAGCTCACCCAGGCGAATCTCATCGGAAGTGGACAAATCTTCCTCGGGAGCTTCACGGCCATCGTCCCTCAGCATCTGGAGGCCGTCTCTAAAGTCGAGAATGAGTGTCTCATCCAGATACTTGAACTCGGTGCTGGGCCATCGTTGCTTGAGAATCTCAACCTCGGGCATAGCGTAGACGGCCTTGAAGACGTTCTTGAGGAACTCGTCAAGCACTTGGATGACCTCATGGTAGTCATGCTCAATGGCCATCTCGAGATCAAGACCAGTGTACTCGGTAAGGTGGCGATGAGTGTTTGAGTTCTCTGCACGGAAAACGGGGCCAATCTCGTACACGCGACCAAAGTCGGCGGCGACGGACATTTGCTTGGCGAGCTGCGGGCTTTGGGCCAGGAAGGCCTTGCGGCCAAAATAGTTGACCTTGAAGACAGAGGAACCGCTTTCAGTGGCGGCAGGCTGGAGCTTGGGGGTGTTGATCTCCACAAATCCAAAGCCCTCGAGAGTCTCACGGAACTGGTGAGAGACCTGGGATCGAATGCGGAACAGCGCCTGGTTGGCCGGGTGCCGCAGATCAAGAATACGCGAAGACATGCGGTTGCGCAGAGCCTCTGGGGGCCTGTAAACACTGAAGGCGGCATTCTGGGCCGGGTTCACGAGCCACAAGCCGTGGATATCAACCTCGGCGTGGGACACGGTGGCAGATCGCACGGGCTCCGGGGGCGCCTTGAGAACGCCGTTGATCTGGAGCAGAGACTCGGCAGGCAGCTTCTGCACCCACTGGACCATGTCCATGTTTTCTCTGGAGAGGACGCCCTGGATGGAGAAGGTCTGGTCACGCAGCAGGAGGAAGTCGAGGGCCTTGGAGAGCTGGCGCTGGGTATGGATACGGCCACGGAAGTTGACCTCTGTGCCAATGGGCAGCGTGTCCAGCTCGGCAATGGTGTTGAGCTCGTAGGGGTGCGTCGGCCAGTCAGAGCCGCTGCTGCGCACGCTGTCAAAGGACGTGGTCGAGTTGTCCATGCTGGATCGCGGAGAGCTCGGCGCCGACCTGCGGCCCTCGTTCATCGTCGCCAGGATCTTGCGGGTGGCCTCGCTGTGGACGGCCGGGGAAGTGGGAGATGTGGGCAGGACTTGCGCCGACATCGTGGGCGTCGCAGGCGTGGGAGTCTCGTTGACCACGTACTGGTGGTAGCTGCTGCGGTTGCTGTTGGTGCCGGCGGCGTTGTAGTTCTTGGGGAATTGGTCGCGGGGCACGGAACGGTCAGGGCTGGCGCGTCTGCTGCTTCTCGTGCTGTTGGAGCGAAGAGGGAGGCCAAAGGCCGACAGGATGGGGGAGTTTCTCCCGCTGTCGGTGGACGGCATGGTGACGATATAGATGCGGGATATCGATGCGACAAGATGGCTATGCTATGGGGCGTTACCTGAGCAGGGATCTGATCAGAGGCCTGGCAATGCGAGCAAGAGACTAAATAACAGCTCAGAAAGGCACAAACACCGCGGTAAAAGCAGAGTAGCTGCTGCTCCTGGGGCTATTTCCGCGGAATTTCAGGTTTGATTGGCTGCCAGCGAGAAAAGTCGCACAACGATGAGACGAGCGAGCGATGTGTGGCAACCGTTTATTCTCTGCCGGAGGTCGCGGGGTTCGTTTTGGCGGGGTTAAGAAACGGGCGGGCGATAAGTTTGGGGGGCACAAGTGCCTGAAGCCTGCGCTGCAGCCCGCTGTAATTGGTCCGGCGCTGTGATCCCCTGTAGGCGCGATGATGTTATCGAAATCTCTGCCCTGACAGCTCCTGTGTCGTATTTTCGCCTCCGCGTGCCTTGTTGCTTCAGAGTCAATGACGTGGAAACTGAATCACCACAACCTCGAGGCGGAGAGCCGCGCTTTCTGAATGGGCTTTTATTCGCGGGCCGCTGACCCGTGGGGGGGGAGGCAGGGCTATTTTTGGAAGGCTGTCACAAAAGATGGGAATTGACTTGGTGTTTGGTTGATTGATAGGAAATAGGTAGGTTGTACGCTTTATATCGAGGGGATGGTGTGCTGAAACCGGAAGTGTGGCAAAGCAAGGCGCGGAACTTTCCTCTTTTTCTTGGATCTTGGATCTTTGGATGAGAAATCTCCTTGAGCCACAGAGGCGGCGGCGAGTCAATGACGGCGATGATGAAGAGAAGGAGAAGAGAGAGAAGCCACAGCAGTAGCTCTTGGCGAGGCTTGCTCTGGTCTTATATAACGCAACGAGGCGTTCTCAAGCAACAGCCAATGCTGAGTCCACTACGACCTAGTTTATCACTGGCTCAACATGTAATCATTTGGTAACAAGCCAATGCAGATGGGCGACAGAGCCCGTTGCTGCAGTGGGTGCCGCCGAGGATGCTGGGGGCAGCTGAACGGGGGGGCGTATCAGCAGCAACCAAAGTCCGATATCAATGGGCGATATCAAGTCCAGGCCGGCATAGACTCAGCCAGAACAGGCGCGAAATTCTCGTCGGATGGCCGAACCGAGCAGGAGGGGCTCGTCCTCTGACCTCTCCTCGGCAAGCTCGTGGGCCCCTGGCCGTGGTGCAGAAATTGCCAGTTGCATTGCCTGTCATCCATCGTCTTGCGGCCATCAGCCCAAATCCCCACCCAGAGTCGACGCTGGACTCCGCCCGAGCCCGAGCAGCCTATCCGCCTAGCACGGGACGGAATCAGTGCGAAGATTCTGTCGGTGTCATTGGGTCGACCGCAGCCGAGGGGGTGGGCGCCTGCAAGAGGTTTAGTAATAGAGCAGTGTGTATGTATGTACCTATAGTTTGATATCAAATCTCAGCCTATACCCTTTAGCAAGCAAGTCCTGCACTAGGCGCCGTGCTGACTGAGCCCGAGCACATGCAGCGGCTGCAACTCTGGCAGGGATTTCCCCTTTGCTGCCTTTTGCTTGCTCTGGAATTGCTCTTCTGCCTCTAGTTTCTGCCCACCGTCGGCCGGCACTGCATGTCTAGGGCCGTTCGGCGTCACACGAGATGCGCGGATGGATGATTAGCGGACAGGCGGATGGGCGCTAGCAGGCAGTCTGGACGCCCAGCTGCTCGCGTCGCCGCTTTCAGCACTTCGTTCTCTTTTTCCCTTTCCACTCTCTTCTTGTCCAGCTAATGCATGATTATGTGCTCTTTTACCCACGCAACGGGTTGCTTGCAGGCCCCGTTTCCCGTTTCTAAATGATGAAAAACATGCATACACGGCTATACGCGCAGCTCTGCATGCAGTGACTCTTTGTTTCGGGGGGATTTCCATGATGTAATTGTGCCATTTACGGAGCTATTCCCCCTGCAAAATCGCAAGCTCCCCGAAACCGTCAACAAAAGCAATTACCAGGGTCAGGTTGCCCATGTTGTTAGGTAACCAGCAATTGGGAGTGAAAAGCTGCCGTTTTTTTCATCCGGGCATCAAATTACGAGGCAATCAATGTGTTTACATGAAAAATCTGCCTGCATATTGCGCTCTGCCCTATTGGGGTAATGCAGCAGCAACTTCTACAAGGAGATTCCCAGTTGAAGTTAATTTATCCTATCGAGTGCCGCTAGTGTTGCTGCTTCTGTGTGCTTTTGCACTCATCCTGGCCGAGAGCGGCTATCGGGGATATACCTGCCAATCAACGATGTCCGCAATGTGGTACTTTTTTGTTCTTCTTTCGCTGTGCAGGTGAAAGCACCCATATGCAAAGTCGGAGTTTCTGCAATGACGTCAGAAGTTGAAACCGCCCCCAGCTTGGACCTGACAGCAGCTCGGTAAGCTGTGCCTAGGCATGCAGATACTACATCGTACCATGAAGATGGAGCATCGAAATTATGTGCATTGAACAGGCGAAGAAAAAAGATGGAAAAAAGAGGAACCGCGCGGCAAAGCAAGTTGATGCCTTGGCCCGGCATCGTCCGATCAGCTCCTCGGGAAGGAATCAGCCTATGGAGCCAGGCGATAGTCGAACTGCAGAGTACGTCATAGCAGGTCTGTGCTCCGATGTCGACTTCCACGATTTTCCATCGCTGCACTACGACCGTAGCACTGGGTTTTTATTACTAAGTGGCATTCAAGGTGCCACTTTAGGCAAGGTGCCTTGGACACTACCAAAAAGGAACTGGTGATGGTCTCCATGGGTTCTAGAAGTCTGCAAAATCGAAAATCCAAACAATAACCACGAAAGGTTCGGCCTGTGCCTTGACAAGATCGATCGGCGTAAAGCCCTCCAGCCATGCCCTCATATAGTCCAGATTCCTCAAGCCCAGCTAATAGTCTCGAGTCTCGCTCAAAAGAAGCTTTGCGCCGATCCAGCCTGCTGGTTGCCGGGGCTCAGCTAGCGCCATATCGAACCCGCTCCCGGTTTTCTTACTGCTGCGTCTCCACGAGTTAATGCTACCCCAGTTATTCGGTTGCATCTTGATTTCTCTCTGTCCAGTTCGCTCCCTTTAGCGTTGTGTTGCGCGTATATGGTGTAAGATACACGTATAGAGCTCTCGACGTCTTGGCAACGAGTTTCTCGTGAATCAACTTGGTCGTTGGAAAACGTGCTTGACTAACATCTTGGCCAGATAAGCCCTAGACCCGAAGCCACGCGAGTCGGGCAAAAAAGATACTCCGTAAGCGGCCTCAAGTCCATCTACCACTTCCCCTGGGCGTCGACTCGTTATCCAGACTGTAGATCGTCACCAGCAGCAGGGCACGCGACACGGTACAATACAGTACTATCAGCCAACTTGGCGCCATCATCGCAGGTATCGGCGCGTACCTCGCCTCTTTTCGTCCACCGTCTCATCATTTGTGCCGTACCTTATCCGTGCCTCGCGCCACCCACCCTCCTTGCCTCCTCATAGAATCAAACTTTTTCTCCCCTTCTTCCTCTTCTTCCACCATCCACGCCCCTCTTCCATCCGTCCACCCCGCTGTTGCGTCCCCCAGAGCCAGTCTGCAGCCAATCCCCGCTTGCCCTGCCTTTCCGTAGAAGCCAGGCTACGCTGTAGCAGTCACCAAATCATCGCTCAACAGACTCACAGCGGATGACCACAGCGCGCCTCTCCCATGGAAGTCGTCCCGGATACCATCAGGAAACCGACAGTGCCGGAGCCTGACGACTATGTCAACCCCTTGGAGGCAAGTTCCCGCTGGACCCTGAATGCGCGTGCGCAGGCCATCCGCTATGCCTCCAGCCTCGGCTTCAGCATCTCCAACCGCACTGAGCCCGCCGCTCCTACACCGTCCACCGAGTTCTGGGTTGATTCGACCCTCGCCGAGAGCAAGGGGCCCAAGAAGATCAGGGTCGAGGTGTGGACGCCGCCGCGTCTGTCCATCGGACCTCGAGCAGCCGTCGTTGCTCTCCATGGCGGAGGATGGATTCTCGGCCAGGGAACCGACAATGCGCGCTGGGCATGCGCCGTCATGACCTCGTTGGATGCTGTCGTCTTCACCGTCAACTATCGTCTGGCTCCTACCCACCCATTTCCAACCGCCATCGAGGACTGTGTCGATGCCATCCTGGAGATCACCAAGCGCGCTGCCCAGTTTGGCATTGACCCCAATCGCGTCATCCTCTCTGGCTTTTCTGCAGGTGCCACCACGGCGTTGTCCAGCTGGCTCGTCATGCACGACCCGTCACGCTGGAATTACACCCTGCCCTTCCCGGTGCCTCGCATCACGGGCCTCGTGCTCTTCTATCCCGGCTTGGACTGGACCATCAACAGGGCTGAGAAGAGGCTGAGTTGCTCTCGTCCTGATCTCACCCTGTCCAAGGGTTTGACGGATCTTATCGATGCCTCATACGTCTTCCCCGCCATCCCTCGCCACAAACGCGCAGATCTTCGGCTGTCCCCGGGCTTGATGTCGGATGATATTATGGCAAAGCTACCACCCGTTCATCTCTGCTTGTGCGAGTATGATATGCTTCTCGCAGAGGGTACCCGCTTCGCAAAGAGGCTGCAGAGCCTGAAAAAGACTGTCACTATGCGCATCGTTGCCGGCGAGAAACATGCATGGGACTGCCCCCCGCCAATGATACAAAAAGAGAGCGTCGAAGTCGAATATGCAGAGGCGACTCAGGCCATTGCCAACTGGCTCGGTCAGGCGCACGACACTGACAGGGAATCGATGCGATCCATGAAAACAAAGCGTTTGCGGATACCCCGGCCCAGTTTCATATCTCGATCAAAATCAGCTGGTCCGTTTTGACCATGACTATTTTCCCCAGATTTAGCTTTTTTTTTTATCCCCTTTGATTGACGACTCATAGCGTTTCCCTTATCCTTTTTGTTTCCCTCCTCTGTTATTTTGATTTATTCCTCTTCTTGACATTGTCTTGATAATACCACAGCACTGCGTTGCACTTGGTAGAAAGAGTAGACAAAGACAGACAGACAGACAGACAGACAGACAGACAGACACGTTGGTGGAGAAAGATGAATTACAGCCAGACGAAGAGACTAATTAGCGAACTGATTATTGCTGGCGTTGGAGGAGGGAACATGCATAGAAGCGGCGAATAGGCGATTAGGATGTTTATCCGTTATAAACGAGACCTGACTGAAAAGATGCAAATGGATTTTTCAATTTGATTTGATAGCACATGATTAAAAATTCACAATTGAATGAGTTTTATATATCAGGACGATTTCTTGGCATCTCTTACTTCCCGTGGCGCTAAGCTAAACTTCCCGCCTTTACTTGAAATCCAGGAGTTTGGGTTTTGGATGATTGTCAGCCATGGCTGTCTGACATGCTCCAAATTCAACCACACCATCATCAATCTCCCTTCTTTCTGTTCACGCCCCCCCTCTAGGACGAGTGGTTATGTAAGTTTCTATTATTGACACTTGGCATATCGTGGCGTTCCGACATGCAAGCCTAACAACACCTTTACATTTGATGAAACTTTTGATACCACATGATAGCCTCATATAAATCGGATGACCGGCAGCGAGTGGGAATTACATGCGAGTCGGGCACGTGGGGGGGAGCCTTACAAGGCAAGATTAACTCTCGATGAAGATCATGTGCCGGGTCTGATGCCGGGCCTAAATGGACAAACGGGGAGTTATGAATCGTTTTTTTGTTTGCTTGTGATTTTGTCAGGGATATCCGGGGTATACTATTTCTCAAAGGAAGCTAAAATAGCTATACTGTGGGATATGCGGCTCGGATGGTTCGGGTAGACTATTGAGGGATCATGGGGGGGGGAGTGAGTGAGACCACGAGGCGGCTTGTTGGAGAAATGGTGTGAATGAATCAAGATCAGAATAAAAAATGGTTAATCAAAACTAGTTAATGGTTCCTAAATGATGTTGGCCATAGGAGTAAAGTCGGGATGAATAGGGATGATACAAACACTTGGAACGCGGGTTGTTTAGAGTGCTGACTGAATCCGTGGCGTCGTTGAGCTACCGAGGTGACGGACGGGGCTTGCGAGTGCCGATGGATGGAGGACTTTAGGGGACGCCCCCAGATGCCATGTGAGGCAACTAGGCTTATCAATTTACTTTTTATTCCTTTTGTTTCGTGTGAATTTTTGGGAGCTCGACAGTGGATGTTCTTGTATATGGCAGGGAGCGTTACATGGACGATGGGCAGTGCTACCCTAGATGGCGAGAAGAGTGTTGCTAGTTTTGATGTGTTGTACAACCTTCAAGGTCCAGTAGCTTTGTGATTGTGTTTATGCTTCAGGTTGTATAGAATCGACAGCTTAGAAAGCATTCATAGAACAGTTTCGAGGCCTGAGGTGAGTTCTTTGTTGCTTACGACTAGGAGACTATCAAATGACTCCAAAGCATATTGTGCCTTGGACTCGGATAGATCAGTGGCAAAGTTGCCATTACTATTTATTTGTTTGATATTGAAAAAGTAGAGGAGTAGCAACTTGACTATGCTCTGAAAACACATGAATAAGTATTGAGATGATCTGAGATTGCGATACTCTAGGGTAGCCACGCCTGTACTTGGATAACCAATGTCTAGGTGTCCCATTGCATACTGGGGACTCTGCTTCGGTTATATTGGTTCTCTCTCAAAAGTGTGCTTTAAACTCCTATAAAAAAGCTATTTACAACATCTTGGTATTGAATGGTAGTTAATATCCTCTTATAGTAGGACGAGCTGGATATCACGTTCTCTCTACATACTGGTGGATTTGCAGCCCTTGATCTCTTTGTAGCGTCTGGGCTGTTGAATACCTATACCTTGAATAAACTCGCCGCAGCTACCCTCGACTCCTCGATAGATAGTCACGCACATATTACTCCAAGTTTAGATGTTTTTCACTTGTTTATTAGCTGCGACTACTCTCTTCCGAGCAAGTACATCATCAAAGAGATGTACAATATTCTATACATCTGCAAGATGCCAACACGTTTAACCCAGCTAATAATAGGACTATTCGCCTTGATTCGTTTCTTCGTTAATTACCAATATGTACGAGGTAGATCGTGCTAATAACTTAACCAACTAGGTATCAATCAATCAATTTACCACTTGGCCTCCTTGCTCTCCACGAAGCCCTTCAGAATGCCGACAATCTTGTCGAGGGCGGCCAGGTAGACCCTCAGATCCGTGGTGACTTGAGCCTCATCAGCTCCAAGCTTGGAGTAGAAGTCCTTGCGGTATGGGCAGGCACCCATGGCAGCGCTGAAGATGGGCTTGATCAAGAAGCTGTGGTGAGGCTTCAGGGTGGTGCCGTATGCGTTTCGGAAGGAGTCGGCAAGCTCTTCGGACTCCTTGGCCACGTTGGCGCTGAGGGCGAGGCAAGTAAACTCGAGACCACTGTTTGGGAGGATCCATGGTTAGTCCCGGAGCGTTTTTTTAAGGCTCTTGGTTGTGGATGGACTGCAGAAAAGCTCAATTATACGTACCGGACCAGCCACAGAAGGCCCTCGGTGGCAGTGTGCTTCTTCGCCTTGAGCTCGTTGCGGCAGAGATCCTGGACATTGGTGGACTCGGCGGGGGCGGCGAGCTGGCGTTCGCGGAGTTTCTAGACGTTGGAAGAAGGTAATGTCAGCTACTGATTGTCTCAAGGGTTCTGTCGAATGGACAGGAATGCACGCTGCAACAAAGCCATAAACATACCTTGACGTTGCCCAACAGATCAGACTTGACGGGAGAAAAGGCAACAGAGCCCAGGAGGTCTGCATAGCCAGATTAGAACACTCTGCCCTCTCCAAGATATCGATCCATACTGCTGCAGCTTACCAAACATGGTGGTCAAGGACTCGGCAGCATCGAGGAACTGGGTAGTGGCAATGGCATTGCCATTTTCGGCATCAATGGGCACGTCGACAAAGGACTGCTTGAAGGTGTTGACGATGGTGGCGCCGACGGGGATTTCAGGAGCAGACATTTTGGATGGAGTTTTCTTTGCTTGGAATATGCTGCAAAAGTAAAAGACAGAAACGGAGAATTGGGATTGAATTGAGCAAGTGTAGGGGAGAAGAAGAAGGAAAATAAAGAGGCAGATGAAGACGCGATCGGGTCTTTGGGTCGGCGGTGAATGCTCGACATCTGGCCTGGAGCTGGTGGGGCAGAGAGGCACAGGTGGGGTCAATTGGGTCGATTTGTTGGAGAGCCAGCCAGGAGAGTTGACGAGAATAGGGGTCGATGGGGAGGGGTTACGAATCTGCAGCGAACTCAATGGGGCTGGATGATACGAGCACTGTGTCGTATTGGTTTAGTATTTATTTGACTACGATGCTGCTCAAGTAACAATAATGATGCTGTGAGTGTGTTTTATTTTGGGTGTAGGTCGATTGTAAAGCCCAGCACGCGGATAGCACCAAGAGCAGTTGGTTACCTAAACAAGGCACCTAGCAGCTTGAGCTCTTATACTGGCTTTCCATCCAGCTAGAGATGGATCCGTTTCAAGACTGTGGCCGCGATCCGTATTTCCCTGGTCGATGCCCACTCTGCTGCATGTAGCTCGGTACTCCGCATTTGCTCCAGTGAAGCGTGACATACAACCAGGACTTTGACCGATTGCAATTGAGCTCTTGGAGTAGAAACACATGTATCCCGCTTACATAATGTCGGGCAGCGTAGGTGAGGTTCAGTATTACGCGGCAACACTCCTTTGCACAGCACCCTCTAGTCTCACGCTCATCAGGTGTTAGTTGCAAGCTACATACAATGGTTTGTCTCCCATTCTGTCACCGAAAACGGATTGTCCGTCTTGACCATTGATCATCACTCTTTCTAATGCACAAACTTGATGATTGATGATCCAATCTTTGCCCAACTCGGCGAGATATCATTGTTCTCCCACGTGTATCTTTTAATCATGGATAGCTTCAGGCTCAGATCTCGCAGATGAGCGGCGCCAACCGCAGAAACTAGCGCCAAGACAAGCACAAGCCAATCAACCAATACAAGTACAACGGAGATGTTTCTCTTCAATTCACAGCCCAGACAATGCCAATACACGCCATACGTCACCGTGTCCACCCGAGAACAAAATGCGCCCTTCCAAACACTGCTTTCGTTCCTTTTTCTTTAGGTAACAAGCAGACGACCCCAGCTCTTGGCTGATGTGACGTCACCGCCCCCTCCCAAATGAACAAGGCTGGCCCCTCCACTTTCGATGCAAACCGGCCAGAGCTCGATCTGATGCTGCGCGCCAAGACACGCAACAGAAAATGGCAAAACCAAAACTTGGATCAATTGGCCCAAGACAGAAAAAATAGGGCCGCTACCAGACAGATTAGCTTTGCATAAAATCATAAAATCACTTTACCTCAAATAAGTTTGCGGATCCGAGACCCCAAAGGCTTGAGATCCCTGCTGCGCGATTCGGCTGTCAGCCCTGTGGCGCCGCCAGCATCTGCCTCGCACACAATGAAATGAATCCTTAGGCTGGCATCTTTGCAAATTGGCTGCAGGCAGCTTCATCTAGTCCAGCTAGCGCTCTTCGGGTCGATCATCGTCATGGTTTCATGCTGTGCAAGTCTGCTGAGCCCGAGCCCCCGCTTCCTTGACGGCTGCGATCTTGGCATCGACTGCGCGCGTGCTATATATACGATTGTTTCAGTTGGCACCTCCTCTACCCTCTAGTGCTTTCTCCTCCTCTCTCAGCTTTCATTTGGTTTGCCTTTTCAGATACCCAAACTCAGCTTCACCTAGCTGCATGTGTGACTCGTGATAGCAGTCTTCTTACCTACTCAATTCATTCATTCCCCTGCGACAAAACTCACCAGCCATATTATATTCCTAGTAGCGTTATAACCATGGCCGCCGCCAAGCCCGCGGAAAGCGGAAGCCATCACGGCCTCCACGGCATGATAGACAGCTTAAAGGACAAGCTCCACGACACCAAGCTTCACGATATCAAGGTGGCCGCATCAAATAAGAAGCATCAGATTGGTAAATTTGGAAACGTGTTCAACAGTAATCACCGCCACGACGAAGAGCACGAGGTGCGCTGCGACGAAAAGAGAACCAAAATCTGCGAGTCTCACCGATTCCAGTCGTTTTTCCCGGAGCGAGATGGCAACCTCGTCAAATGGTACGTAGACGGACGAGATTACTTCTGGGCCGTGTCTGTCGCCTTGGAGCAGGCCAAGGAATCCATCTACATTGAAGACTGGTGGCTCTCACCAGAGCTGTTCATGCGACGGCCGCCTCACGAAAAGCAAGAGTACAGACTGGATCAGATTCTGAAGCGAAAGGCCGAGCAAGGAGTCAAAATCTTCGTCGTCGTTTACAAGGAGGTCGAAGCCGCCCTGACGTGCAATTCGGAACACACCAAACACGCCCTGCAAGCGCTCTGTCCCGAGGGCACTCCGGGATTCAACAACATCAAGATTATGCGGCATCCGGATCACAATGTTCTCGAAAATGCGGCAGACATGACAATGTACTGGGCGCACCACGAGAAATTTGTCGTCATTGACTATTCCATTGCCTTCATCGGAGGTCTAGATCTCTGTTTTGGTCGGTGGGACACCCGAAGCCACCCGCTGTCAGACGTTCATCCAGATGATGTGACTGCGGAGATTTGGCCGGGCCAGGACTTCAACAACAATCGAGTCATGGACTTCCAAAAGGTGCAGGACTGGCAGAACAACGAGGTCAGCAAGGCTGATTATGGCCGCATGCCTTGGCACGACGTCTCCATGGCTGTCATCGGTCCTTGCGTCCTTGACATAGCGGAGCATTTCGTTCTGCGATGGAATTTTGTCAAACGGGACAAGTATAAACGTGACGAGAGGTTTGACTGGATCATCCTCGAGGGCCGTGAAGGCGAAGATGAGGACCTGGTCGGAGTGCAGCGGCCCAAGCACCCGGTGGGAGACTACGTCAAGCATCCTTTAACCCCCCTGGCCACCAAGAACCTGCCTAACCGGGGGACTGTTCATGCACAAGTGGTGAGATCCAGTGCCGACTGGTCCAGTGGAATCTTGACAGATCATTCCATTCAAAATGCGTACTCAGAGATCATTACCGCTGCGGAGCACTATGTCTACATTGAGAACCAATTCTTCATCACTGCCACTGGCGAGCATCAATTCCCAATTCACAACACGATTGGAAGGGCCATTGTGGAGGCCGTAGTCCGAGCTGGAAAGGAGGGTCGAAAATTCAAAATCATCATCGTCATTCCCGCCGTTCCAGGATTTGCGGGCGACCTTCGAGATAACGCTGCGTCTGGCACGAGAGCCATCATGGATTACCAGTACAAGTCGATATGTCGAGGGGAACACTCCATCTTTGAACAAATCAAAGCTCAAGGAGTGGATCCTACCAAGCACATATTCTTCTTCAACTTGAGATCTTACGACCGTCTGAACAAGACGCCTGCAATCACCGAAGCAGAGGAGAAGACGGGTATCAAATACCAGCAAGTCCAGCGTGTTCTCGCCGAAGACATTATGAGTGAAGGCATCCACGGGACAACAGATCCCATTGAGCACGAACGGGATAACCACATGGGCCAGGAACACGAGAAAGAAAAGGCTCATAATGAAGCTCTGCAAGCAAAGGAGACGTTTGAGAAGGCCAAGCCGCAGGAAGAAGTCAAAACTTCGCCTACGGTTGCACATTATGCCATGGCCGGCCAACCTTCGTTGGAAGATGAGGTTTGGTCCGAGTCTGATCCAGCATCTGAGATTAAGAACTGGGTGCAGGAGGAGCTTTACGTACATGCCAAGATACTCATTGCCGACGACCGAGTAGTGATTTGCGGCTCGAGTAACCTGAACGACCGTAGCCAGCAAGGAAACCACGACAGTGAGTTGAGTATTGTTATGGAGGACACGAATCTTATCCAAACTACCATGAACGGAAGGCCGTTTGAAGCAGGATACCACGCAACCACTTTGCGACGGACGCTCTGGCGAGAGCACCTCGGTCTTCTCCCTCCGCAGGAGTTTGATGCCAACAACGATATTAATGCAATGCCGCCGAGCGTCGAGCCCAAGAATAATGTCTACGACGATGACGACAGTTGGAAGTTTGTAGAAGATCCGCTTAGTGACGAGCTGTGGGATATGTGGACAAGTCGAGCAGACCGAAACACTGACCTCTTCCGCCAACTGTTCCACGCCGATCCAGATAACAACAGTAAGTCCTCCCCGTGACTATTAGATTTGAGAGTTGTATGTGCATTTTCACAAGCTGACACGGAAAAAAAAAAATAGTCAAAACATTTGACGATTACAATCGTTTCCTTCCACCTACGGGCGTAAAGCCTGGCCACATTTTCGACCAGTTCATGCCGCCCGAGGAGGCGAAGAAGAAGCTGGCAGAGATCAAGGGCCACCTGGTGTGGATGCCAATGGACTTTTTGAAGGATGCGGAAATGGCTGAGCGGGGTCTTCAGGTGAATGCTTGGACGGAGAGTGTGTATACTTGAAAGGCTTGTCGTGTAGATTCTCTCTGGCTTGCCGTGTGTTGGGAAAAGTGAAGTAAAGATACCTAGGTAATATTTTGTAATGGGTAATGATTATTAACGAATTGTTTCTTTGGCTCTCGCGCTTATACTTTATCTACACTATATGCGGCCTATCCCAAGATATAACAGCATTGGCCAATGCCTGGATTTCGTGCATCCATCAGAAACCCCGTTGCAGAAGCGAGGTCGCATATCCGGTCGCATCAAGCGCGCCACCACCGGGGCTGCAACAAGGATGGGTGGCTGTGAACCACTCCTGGTTTTAGCGAGGACAATTAGACTTTGGCGCAGTTGCTTCTCGGGTTTCTTCTCATCGGCGTCGCATATCTTGGTAGGCAGAGAACGGTACAAAGTTGGGAAAAAAAAGAAAGAGACGGCACGTACAGTAGCGGAGGCCTGGAAGCGCCGTGCTGGGTAGTTGTGGCCAATAGCAGCGGCGAAGTGGTCACATTTGGGGACATCACTTGCATAAGTCTGGGAGATGAAGACCGTTTAAGCCTGTGATGGAGGATGAAGAGAGTTGCTAGTGGTTCTCGTCCAGGTAGGTGGTTTGTCCCCCCCTTTTTTCCTCTACTGCTACTACTATTCATTTTGAGCTTTATCGAGGGAAAATATGGTAATAAGAAGGAGACGGAGTTTTAAAGAGAAATAGTGGAGTTGGAGTGTATGAGATTGAGAAGACGCTGATGTTGGTTGGTGAACTTGTCCAAGTGCACGATTGTTAAAGACAAAGAATATAGAAAGGAGAAAGAAGATAACTCTAAACAAACCTATTTCGTAACGCCATTGAAATACCTAGTCACCGCTTTCAGATTGTGGTCTCATGAGTCACTCTATTATACAGACCCTGGCTCGTTGCTTTCTCTCCTGTTTATTGGTGCCCAAGCAGCAAGCAGGCTCAGCACTCAAACCCAGATCGGCGGCAGCGCGCGGCAAATGCCTCTTGTTTCAAGGCCGTCTATAAGCAAGTAATATATGTAAAACTCAACATAAAAACTACCTATTCCTAAATGTACGCTTCTTTTTTGCAACTGTTTTCTGGCCCTTGCTCGGCACTCACGCACATGCCAGCCCGCGTCGATGCGTCCAACAAACAATGGTTCAATGTAATGCAAGAAATCTGGCCTGGTCTCTTGTCTTCATGCTGGTCCGTTCAGGGGTCTTACAAGTTGACATTCCCCGCTAACGACCTAGACCAGCCCGCCGCTTTTTATTCACGGCGGCGTTAGCGACTGTTAGAGCCCCCCCTGGAGTGGGCGGTGGCGCACGTTACAGCAGCTCATCATGCCTAACAGGCGCCGGGCCCCCGCTGCCGCCAGCAGCTTTGTCGCCCAACCCCCATCAGCGGCTATTCTGGAGAGTGGCATCACCACCTTTATGGGTCTGGAATTCTGCCGCAGCTGTAGCAGTCCCGCCTACATCATTGGCAAATCACCAGCCACCGGCCCAGCTTACCTGGCGCTTCCTACGTCGCTGCTCAAGGCTTGTCCAAAGTCAAACGACAGCAGTTGTTTCTTTCAAACCGCCGCCTCATCACTTTGTTGCTACTCATTCCTTCTTTCAGCATCCATCTCGATTGCTCCTCGTCCGCCATTGCTGAGGGAACCCCGCCTCGGAATCCAAACACCTGCGTAAGGGCCGCGAGATACTTGAACAAACCGAAAAGGTGTCACCAAGCTGCTAAGCTATCTTACGTTACCTCCGCACAAAACAGCTCGAGCATACGCAAGGCCCCTACGCAAGCTCGCCTCGCCGTCTTCTCTCAAGCTGTCGACGAATCTCTCCACCGCCCGACACTTGCTTACCAGAGAAAGCAACCGCTTATAGCTCGCATCCCGCCTATTTCGCTCTTCTCCGCAACGCCTCCTCTCCGCAATAAACAGTCTACCGACATACAATAACAATACTATTCCTCTCTCCTTCTCGTACAGCTTGCCATCGCACCGCGCTGCTGTATCCCCGCCTGGACGTCTTGTCCTCCGCGCTGGCCGACGCGCATGCGACTTGCTGGACGTCTCAGCCGTGGCCTTATTTGAGTCTACCGCCAGTCGCACAAGATGACGCAGTCTCCCATGATAGCCGCGCCGCCCAAGGCAACCAATGAGATTGACTGGGTTTCGCCGTTGAAGTCCTACATCCGCGATACCTACGGCGATGACCCCGAACGATATGCCGAGGAGTGCGTGACGCTCAACCGCCTGAGGCAGGACATGCGAGGCGCGGGCAAGGAGAGCACCACTGGGAGGGATATGCTCTATCGCTACTATGGACAGCTGGAGCTGCTGGACCTGCGGTTCCCCGTGGACGAGCAGCATATTAAGATCTCATTCACTTGGTACGAATACCATCTCCAAAGCCCCGAAAGAGGCTTGCCATGGCCAGCTGCCTGCGGAGACGATTGCCAACTAACATGAATCTCTTGATTTAGGTTCGATGCATTCACCCACAAGCCTACGACACAATACTCGCTCGCATTCGAAAAGGCCTCCGTCATCTTCAATATCTCCGCTGTTCTTTCCGGCCACGCTGCTATACAGAATCGAGAAGACGACTCTGCGCTGAAAGTGGCCTACCACTCGTTCCAAGCGTCAGCCGGCATGTTTACTTACATCAATGAGAATTTCCTGCACGCTCCTTCGTTTGATCTAAGCCGAGAGACTGTCAAGTGTTTGATACATGTTATGCTTGCCCAGGCACAGGAGATCTTCTTGGAGAAGCAGATCAAGGACCAGAAGAAATCGGGTTTGTTGGCCAAGCTGGCATCGCAGTCTGGGTATCTCTATGGGCAGGCCATTGAGGGCGTGCAGGAGAATGTTACAAAGGCCATATTTGAGAAGGTCTGGTTGACAATGGTTCAGGTAAGCCAGAAGCTTTACTCGCCTGATTGAGCCCCCCCTCTCTCAATGGCGTATGATACAAAAGTATCATTCTATGTATGCACGGCATGGCTAACTTTGGAAATGAAAACAATGTAGATCAAGGCTAATCTGCTCAACTCAATGGCGGAATATTTTCAAGCAGTGACCGATGATGACGCCGGCCAACATGGCGTGGCGCTATCACGACTTCAGGTCGCAGACAACCTCGCCAAGGAAGCCGACAGATTGGCGAAAAACTTCCCCAGTACCGTGCCGTCCAACGCCAATCTTGGCGCTGACTGCAGCACGCAGCTCCAGGAACTAACGAAGCGACAGTGCTCCACGGTTCAGGAGCGGCTCCGAGAGGCCATCAAGGACAACGACTACATCTACCACCAGACAGTACCCGCCGAGGCCAGTCTACCCCAGATTGCCAAGCTGCCAGCTGCAAAGCCCATCCCCGTAAGCGAGTTATACGCTGGTCAGGATATCCAGCGCATCACCGGACCCGATCTGTTCTCCAAGATTGTGCCCATGGCGGTTACAGAGTCTGCCAGCTTGTACGACGAGGAGAAGGCCAAGCTGGTGAGAGCCGAGACGGAAAAGGTAGACACTGCAAACGGAGAAATGGCAGCAAGTCTGGATTATCTGCGACTTCCCGGTGCGCTGCAGGTGTTGAAAGGCGGCTTCGATCAGGATATCCTCCCTGACGAAGACTTCCGGCAGTGGTGTGAAGATGTTGCCAATCATGAGAATCCAGTGAGCATATTTGACTTTCTGCGGAGTGAGAAGGAATCCATTGTGTCTACTCTGGACAAGAGCTCCAAACAGCTGGACATGGAGGAGAGTGTGTGCGAAAAGATGCGGTCCAAGTACGAAAACGAGTGGAGTCAACAGCCAAGTGCACGCCTGACAACGACGCTGCGAGGCGATATCCGCAACTACCGAGAGGCTCTGGAGGAAGCTAGCCGGAGTGACAGTCAGCTAGCAGCCAAGTTACGCCAAAACGAGGCGTGGTTCGACGAGATGCGAAACGCCGTCGCCAACGGGCAGGTCGACCAGCTCTTCTCCAAAGCGGTCTCACAGGCCAAGGCTAGAGGGAGCAACGCTGTCAGCCCATCTGGAAACGAACCAAACCTACTCGATGCGGACTTTGATGAATCTGGACCGACAGTCGTGGAGCAGATAGCAAGAGTTGAAGAAATTCTTAAGAAGCTCAATTTGATCAAGAGAGAGCGGAACCAGGTGCTGAAGGACCTAAAGGACAAGGTGAGAGCTATAGATCTTGGGGAGAAGACTCATGGAAGAGACGCGGCTAACAAAATGAAATAATAGATCCACAACGACGACATCTCACAAGTTCTCATTCTTAACAAAAAGACAATAGCAAACTATGAGCAGCAGCTTTTCCAGCAGGAACTGGAAAAGTTCCGGCCTCACCAGAATCGCCTGCTCCAGGCAAACCACAAGCAGTCAGCCCTGATGAAGGAACTCACTGCTACCTTTAATACTTTGCTGCAAGACAAGCGCGTGCGAGCCGAGCAGAGCAAGTACGAGTCAATCCAACGGCAGCGGTTATCAGCCATTGGCAAGTATAAGCGCGCCTATCAGGAGTTTTTGGATTTGGAAGCGGGCTTGCAGAGCGCCAAAAACTGGTACTCTGAGATGAGACAGACGGTGGAAAGCCTTGAGAAGAATGTGGACACATTTGTGAACAACCGGAGATCAGAGGGTGCACAGTTACTCAACCAGATCGAACAGGAGCGAGCATCCAACAAAAGCCAGCAAGCAGAACTAGAACGAGAGCGCCTACGCGGTCTCATGGAACGAATGTCGGTTGAGCCTGGACAGGCGTCGCAGGCAGCGCCAGCGGTGCCAGCAAGGCCGCCTTCACAAAGGCCAACGCCTGCGCCCCTAATGCAGCAGCAGCAGCAAGGCCAGGCTACTCAATACGCCCAGCGAAGCAATAGCAACAGTTATCAGGGACAGTTTCAGCTACCGACATCTCCACCGCCCAATCAGCAAAACTTTCCTGGTTACACCAGCCCTCCTCCTCAAAGTACGTTTTCGCAACCCGTATACAACCCAAGCACGTACGGCAGAAACCCCGGCCCGACGTCGCCTCCTCCCAATCAAACGTCTTTCAACATGAATGTCATGAGAGGTCCTCAATCACCTCCCCCAACACAAACATCTTTCGGACAACACCAGGCCTATAGTACGTATGGCGCGTTGCCTTCACAGCCTCAGCAGCAGCAATCGCAACAGCAGCAGCAGCAGCTCCCCCAGGTAGGATATGTACCTTCTGGCTTTGTTCCCCCGCCGCCTCCTCCAGGCCCTCCCCCGTTGGGCCCTCAACAGACTATTCACTTTGGTCAGCAAGATTATGAGCACGCATCTGGCCATCCTCAGAGCGCACAGCCCCGGTCAGCACAGCAGCAACAGGCACATGATCCATGGGCTGGATTGAATGCATGGAAATAGTTGGGCGGTTGTGGTGGTGATGTGACTATTGGCAGGGGAGGATGGTAAGAAGAGAAGAAAAAAAGTGTACGCAGATGGGCCAGTTAGTTGGACGAAGATAATACCAGTTTCAAATAAGCAGAGAAGAGGGAGAATGGTGCCTAGTATAGATGGTAATGTAGCTGAGATGTTACAAGAAGACTCAGGATGAAAGTTTCAAGGTTCCTAGAGAGGATTGTACGCCAAGAACTGTGCGGGCATAAAAAGACGAGGCGGACATGGAAGTAGACAATGTGTATATTGAAGGCGTTGATATCTATTTCCCTGCCTGGTTTTTACTCTCTTTAAGTGCAGTGATGTTTTCCGTCTAGACAGTTGGTAATATTGCTCTTAGTCCCTAGAGATTCCTGACATTCTACGTGACTGAATAATTGACAAAACGGCCATTCGCCACAAGCCGAACAAAAGGGGAAATAAACAGCACAGAAGTTATGCTTGAAAAGTAAAAAAGCAATAGCAGCAACAAAACAGCGTGGAATCTGCGGAGAACCCGAGTTCGGATCTTGTCTGTACCCCGCAGAAGGGCGTCTGGGCGGGCCGGGAAGATGGAGAAAAATCGGAGGTCGCTAATTCGACCGCTAGAAGAGGGTGCTGAGTCGCATTTTTGGCGATCTTCGGGGTGGCCTGGAGACACCGGCTTTTGGGGGCTTTTTTGGAGAATGCACTTTGGTCTTCAGCAAGTGTTCCTTGGAGCGTCTTATGAATTATATAGTAGTCACAATTGAACGAGCATCTAAAAGTTTTAGACATAATTATTAGATTCTTACGAGCAAGACTTTGGTAAATATCCGTCGGCCACTATGGAACTGCTCAACCGAAACTGTGGATTTTCGTTCCCAGGCCTTGTTCCCCGTAGAAGCCACCATCGCTAGTCAAGCCGCTTGGGTATAATATTAGCCGACGGCCAATGATGTTGCTCCCAAATCCGGCCTATCACGCATAACCGTATATAGTCCAGTAACGACAGGCGACAACCGATGCGCGACGACTTCCTTCTTTCGCCTTCATCTTCCATCTTTGATATAGACAGCAAGTGATCTTGTTGATTTTACGCGGCGTCCATTATCATCTCCCTGTTCTGATAAAATACTACGCTTTGCAAATTGGATTCAATTGACGCCATTCTGTAGTGCTTCTTGCTCAAGCACCCGTCGATAAGAACTACCGGCTGCTGAAACGTCATCAGCAGCAGTTGAAGGAACAGACCTTGAGGAAGCAAAGCAGATACAAAAGAAAATATGGTGCTCACAGGCAACGATGTCGCGAAACACGCTGACGAAAAGTCATGCTGGGTGATTATTCATGTGAGTGCCTCATCTCATGTCATTGGCTGGGCTTGACTGACTGACTTGACTCTCACTAGGGCAAAGCATATGATGTGACAGAGTTCTTGCCAGGTATGGCCATGATGGGAACAGACGCGGTTCACTCATTCAACGGACAAGTGCTGATTTTGTGTCCTCATGAAAATAGAACACCCCGGAGGCGAAGAAATCATTCTCAAATATGCCGTATGCGCAAACCCCCTCTCATCCCTATTCTCATCTCGTTCCATAAATGAGCATGCTTGCTAAACATAACAACCACCCCCAACTCCAGGGCAAAGATGCGACAGAGGAATTCGACCCGATCCATCCTCGAGACACGCTGGACAAGTATCTCGAAAAGTCCAAGCATCTCGGCCCCGTAGACATGTCCACCGTCGCCCAGGAAGTTAAGAAGGACGACCCTGAAGAAGCAGAGCGGCAGCAGAGGATAGCTGAGATGCCGTCGCTGTCACAGTGCTTCAACTTGCATGATTTTGAGGCCATTGCGCGGAGAACCATGAAGAAGACTGCGTGGGGGTATTATTCAAGCGCAGCTGATGATGAGATTGTGAGTCTTGGTGTATGATCCTAACCTAAGCACCATACCTAACACGATGTCTTCTAGACTATGCGTGAAAACCACAGCGCCTACCACAGAATCTGGTTCCGTCCGCAAATCCTCGTCGACGTCTCAACCATTGACCTCTCCACCACCATGCTCGGCACCAAAGTCGACGCCCCCTTTTACATCACCGCCACTGCCCTAGGCAAGCTCGGCCATCCAGAAGGCGAAGTCATCCTCACCCGCGCGGCCCACAAGCATAACGTCGTCCAGATGATCCCCACGCTGGCCTCATGTTCCTTTGACGAGCTGGTAGACGCGAGGCAGGGCAGCCAGGTGCAGTGGCTGCAGCTGTACGTCAACAAGGACCGCTCCATCACCAAGAAGATTGTCCAGGAGGCAGAGCGGCGCGGCTGCAAGGGCCTCTTCATCACCGTCGACGCGCCGCAGCTCGGCCGCCGCGAAAAGGACATGCGCCTGAAATTCACAGACACGGGGAGCAACGTGCAAAAGGGCCAAAAGACCGACACCAGCCAGGGCGCCGCGCGCGCAATCTCCACCTTCATCGACCCGTCGCTCAGCTGGGCCGACATCCCCTGGTTCCAGAGCATCACCAAGATGCCCATCATCCTCAAGGGCGTGCAGCGCGTCGAGGACGTCCTGCGCGCCGCCGAGGCCGGCGTCCAGGGCGTGGTGCTGTCCAACCACGGCGGCCGCCAGCTCGACTTTGCGCGCTCCGGCATCGAGATCCTCGCCGAGACGATGCCCGTCCTGCGCCAGCACGGCCTGGACAAGAAGATTGACGTCTTTGTCGACGGCGGCGTGCGCCGCGGCACCGACATCCTCAAGGCGCTGTGCCTCGGCGCAAAGGGCGTCGGCATCGGCCGCCCGTTCCTCTACGCCATGAGCACCTACGGCCAGCCCGGCGTGGAGCGCGTCATGCAGCTGCTCAAGGACGAGATGGAGATGAACATGCGCCTGATTGGCGCCGCCAAGATCGAGGACCTGCACCCGGGGCTGCTGGACACGAGGAGTCTGTTTGTGCATTCCAATGCCACGCCCGTGGATTCGCTCTCGTTGACGACGTATGATCCGTTGATTGTTCCTGCGCAGAGACTTAAAGCGAAACTGTGATGAATCAAATGTCAAAGACGGAAGACAATGGTTGGATAGATGTATGATGTATAAACGAGCAATATGTGCATGTATTTCCATAACTTGATGCTCTTTAAATACAGCGGTGATTTCATTTGTGATTCATTGTTCAAACGTCCCGTGTATCTACAAATTCATCTTATATCATGTCTTGTTCCCAGACAAACCCCTATAATACACCTCCCCTCCAAGAAAAGCTGAGAAAAGCTTCAAAAATTCACAGCCCATTCAAAAACTCACGCAGCATCATCGGTTTCCTCACCGCATTATTCAACCCCTCATGAAACGTCACCCACACCTTCTCCTGAGTCGCCGCCTTCTTCTCCCTCGCACCGCCCGTCACCTCCGCCAGCGGCTGCGCCTGGATGATGCGCCCAAAAAAGTCCTTCTTGACCACCAAGCCGTCTTCCACAATCGCCATGTCGTCCTTTGACGGTTGAGTAAGCGACTGTGGCTGGTGCTGGTCGCTTTCACCAACGACTCGTCCGGCTCGGAAGCGTGCTTGGCGGGCGACTGTCTCGCGGATGGCGAGCGTGCGGTGGAGTTCTTGGTCGAGGACCTGGCGGACGGCGAAGCGGGTTGGGGGCTGGGATGTAAGAAGAGAAGCTGTTTCAAAAGTTGAGAGGGCATCAATGTCACTATAGAATTATTGAGTTAGTTCAACTGCCGTCTATACGCAAGATATGATGAAGATGTATCAAAAAGAAAGGAAAAAACTTACGGGTCCATGCGGTATACAAATTGTGGCCCCCGATTGGATGCTACATCGGCCTCAATCTTGCCCTTTTGCAAGGCAATGCCAACTTCTGCCAGCACCTCTGACGCGCGCTTGACCATGGCTCGCTCGCTCTCCTTGCGCACACTGGCCGTGGTGCCCTGACTGCCGCCTACAACCACAGGCTTCACGTCTGGTGCTAGCATGCGGGCAAGGTAAGGTAAGAACTCCGTGGCCACGTCTTCTGCGCTGCGGAACAAGCGCATCATGGTTGGGCTGAGCTGGCCCTGAAGAGACTGCAGTTGGGCGCGGGTTTGCTTTTCAGCCTCAAAAGCCTGGTAGTCGGCGCGCGGGCCAGAGAAGGGTATTGAAGGGCCGGCTTCTTCTTCTCTGGCTCGCTGGCCATTGGCCATGGTATTGGCATAATGCCTCTTGGGCGATGCGAATAGGTGGTGGCAGGCTAGGACGGGTTGAGCCAAGTAAGGGGAGAGCTCCCATTCCTGACTGGCGAACAGCCTGGATTGACAGGCATCGTGAAAGTACAGCCAGTCGTAGGCCTGGTTCGGTTTCGTGAGGTAAGAATCGTCGTTGAACTCGCGGTTTGGATACTCTGCGAATACTTCCGTCACGACATGGCTGATTTCGCCGCTGGAATCAATCATTTGCCTGAGACACTCCATTGCGTATTTCTTTTGGTGCTCTCCGAATCCGAGCTCCGTCTTTGGCTGTTCGTGCGCCGTCTTGGATTTGGACAAGCTGAGCGCCTGTTTGGGGAACCCGCCGCCCTCTTGGAAAAGGCGAGTGATGATGTCCTTGACGCTGCCTCGTCCGAGGCCTCGAGTCCCCGCGGCGCCGTTGGCGAGCTCTTGGAGAATATTTCGCTCGATCCACTCTCTGGTAAGACGCTGGGTAGCATTCAAGCTTGAAACTCTGAACTGAGAAGCTACCCATTCGCCAATGACCATGATGCCTCGAAGATCACCCTGTACGGTGCTTTCTTGTCCTCGCCTAGCGTCGATACCGTTGGCCATACCCCAGGCTGTCTCACACAGCTTGCGTGCTGCGTCTTTGTCGCAGGGAATGCCTTCTTTCTCAAACACCGTCTTCAAACGACCCACCACAGTGTCCAGTGTTGGTCGGCCGACGTGAATAATCTCAGCCAGATTTGACTGTCGTAACGGCCTTAGAGAAGGGTGGTATACATCATTGCATATAAGAATCAAGGGCCGCATCAGGCGGAAATCATCGCCTTTTTTCTTTTTACCTTCGTACGTCTTTGATACCCCTGAAGCATTCTTTTGGTCGATCAGTACGAGGTCGATCAGCGCTTTAATGAAGCCGCCTTCTCCAGAAGCTCCAGATCCTGTCACCACACCATCAACCTCATCCACCACAACACACGCAGGCTTAGCAACTTTTTGCGAGCCGTTCAGAGCCTTTTGGTTGCCAACGTTTTTGACACTTTCTGTCCCCAGACTGGTCCGAATCCGATTCTTCACAACATCACGACTGCGGTCATCACTAGCATTGACCTCAATCACCTCATAACCCGCTTGTTTGGCGCAGACATGAGCCAGCGTTGTTTTGCCTAGGCCAGGCGGGCCTGTCAACATCAAAATCTTTCGATGAGGCTTCTCTTCTTCTACCTGGGAATTGGGTCCATTGCGTCTCTGAAGCTTGGGTTTCGCTTTGGCCGTGCCTGGAAAGACTAATGGATCCCATTTCTTGAGCCAGCGTAGGACAAGTCTATTCGTGGAATCGTCTCCGCATAAATCCATAAAGTTTCTTGCTCGGTATTTTTCAGTCCATAGCATGGTCTTCTTCGGCTTCTTGTCTGATATTGATGCCGCCTCCATCTGCCGAACAGCTTGATTGGTGTCTGGAGATGGTGGGTTGTCCCTCCTCTCCGCCATTTCATTCGTGGCAGCGTTGATGAGGTTGTGTATATCAACGCCATAGTAGTCTCGTTTCGCCCGTCCTTCTTTTGTCCTCGACCTAGCTGCTACCATGGACTCGTACGATTGAGTAGCGACTTCTTTTCGCTGTCTAATCGTAATTTCGCGGCCTTCGCATGTTTTCAGTTTATAAGTAGTCTTTGAGCGAGTTCCAAAGATGGGTGTTGTAAGTAGTGAATCTGATTGGGCCCATAGGGGTGCCGTTGGGAGTGAAGTAGCCTGAGTATCGTCTATTGGTGTTGAATTCGCTGTCGCGTCATCGATGACTGAGTTCTCATTCCGGGGAATGTTGCCACTGGCATCTTGATTCGCATCTCGAGCACGAGATCTAGGGCTCTGTGGTGTCTTGTCGGGCTGATCCTGAATCTTACGCCTCTTGGAAGGGGACCTTGAGCCAGCTCGAGGCGCAGTTTCCGCATCTGACTCAGAGTCGGAGTCCACGAATGGTCCAGCAACTCGGGGTTTCTGTGTCGGATATTGAATATCGTGAGGTTTGGCGCGCTTGGGTGGAGGAGTAGGAGGGTCGCTTGGGAAGATAATGGGTGAGGATGCAGAGAGCATTTTGGCCGATTTGCGATTCCAATGGCACAAATTACACTCAATCAATATACACCAAAAAAAAAAAACAAGAGAATATGAAAAATGTCACTGGCCTGGATCAAGGCGAATGTCTTTGGCCTGCAGTATAGAAAAGTCTCGACGCGTCTCAATGCGGGAAGTGGGCTGAGACGCGTTGAGTGGCCCCGCTATCGGTGGGTTCTCGGTGAGTCGGTCAGGGAGCACCACACCGAGCGGCAGAATATCGGCTGGATGGCACCACCAGAAAAAATGACACCCACATATTGAGCTCTAAACAACGGCCTCCAGTGATCTCGTCAAGCTGCAATTGTCGCCGGTCGGCTCGCCAAGATGAGAAAGCCGTACCGTTTCTACAGTTTAAGTCGCCCTGTAAGTTCAAGGCCATACTAGCATTTGCGATGCTGTATTCGCAGCAGCTGCGGCGCAGGAATTGCGCTGGATCATGATGGCGGGGATCCTGGTTACTGATCTTTGGCAAACTCTTATAGAAACTGCGACAATCATGGAACAAGTACAACCTGTATAACCTGTATCGCCAGACAGGCCGAGAACCCCAAATCAAAGGCACACCCACCTTCTTCCAGCAGAAATGGGCGGCCAAGGCGAAAACTCGATCATATCACGGAGAGCACATCCCCGAAAAGAAATGGGTGCGGCTCTTCTCTCGCCGACTTCTTTCCGCTGTGGACATGCCGCCGGAATACCTGGCAGCGCACGATGGATCTGAACAGGCTGCCGGACGTGGTTCCGGGTTGACAACAACGACCGTCTCGGCCGAAACCTTTTCCAAAGTCCCAAAGCTCAGCACTCAAGAGCGTTCAAGGAAGAGAGCGATCTTTGGAGATGTGAACAAGCTGTTGTCGGATCAATTCAGCAACATGACTCCCTATATGCAGATGACGTTTGCGCCGCTGGAGAGGAGATTGGATACCGCAGTATTCCGAGCTCTGTTCGCCAGCAGTGTCCGACAGGCACGTCAATTCGTCATCCACGGAGCCGTAACAGTCAATGGTAAAAAGGTGTGTTGCAGCTTTTTCATGGCCTTTATACTTGGCCAACATGTACGTTTTACTAACAATGACGCAGATGGTTCATCCGTCTTATCAATTGAACCCCGGCGACTTGTTTCAAGTGGATCCAGAGAAAGTCATGTACGGAACAGGCGTTCAGAAAGCACAGCAAGGCAATTCACGTCTCCGTGAGAACCTCGAGGCCAGACAAAAGAAGGCAGAGCAAGCATTCCAGAATGCTGTGAAGAAGACAAGCAGTGCCACTGCTGCTACCGAAGGAGAGACAGAAGGCGACAAGGCTGAAGCTGAGGCTACCGCTGCTGAAGGCGAAGCTGCTGAGGGCGAAGCTGTGGAAGGCGAAATCATTGCTGCTGAAGACGCTGGGTCGCTGACTCCAGAAGCCCAGTGGCAGCTGAACAATAGGGCCTTGAAATTCCTGCTAAAGGACGTCAAGAAGATCTTGAAGAATAACACCAAGGACCTGACCGCCAAGGAGAAGAAGCAGCTCCGCCTTTTCCGAGCAGATGCCAAGCGCTTCCTCTCACAGCCTGAGAAGAGCGAGGGCAATATTACCGAGCTCATTGACGAATTGCAGACACAAATGAAGAGCCACGAGCTGATGCGAGAGAGCTTTGAGAAGCTCAGCCTGAAAGAGAATCAGGCCGAGTCCGAAGTTGAAGCCGAGAGCGCCAACGCCGCTGTGGAAGAGGGCGAGCACCAGTCAGAACTCAGTAGAGAACGACAGGTGGAGAAGGGTCTCGAAGGTTTATCAGACGAGCAGAAGACCAAGGCCAAGAGGATAATGGGCGACGCTCAGCTATCTCGAGAGGAAATGAGGAAGCTGGCACGTCTGCTTCAGTACGACGAAGAAAACCCCATTGATGATTCCAAACCCTATGCTACCCCATGGAGGCCCCGCCCTTACATGTCAGCGTTTGCTTTCATCCCTCGATACCTCGAAGTCAACCCCAACATTTGTGCTGCCGTCTACCTGCGACACCCGGTTGCACGAAAGGGTATGGGTGAGGTGCCAACACCTTTCAGCTACCTGACGAGCCAGCTGACTCACAACTGGTATCTTGAGCGTGGCTAAGCACAGGTAGGGGGCGTTTGGAAAGGGGCGATTAGGAGGTGGATGTATATATCATGATGTACAACTTCTACGGAGAAGGAAAAGGGAAAAGGCGCCAAAAAATTAGAAGAAAACAAAAAGAAAGGAAGTCTATGTAGGCTATGTATGATGATGAAGCTGGGACTGGAATTTGCTCCGGGCCTCGGCATGTAATAGTATATACACAATAACTACTATATACTTGAGTCAATGTAGAGTGTAATTGTGATGTTTCCTGAGAATATTGTATCACAAGGGGAGTTGAAGTAGTTGAAAGACGTCCCTTTATTCCGGCTATATAGGGCTTTTCAACACTACCGCATATCAGGTGTAGATGGGAAGAGGTGCCAATGGCAGCGCAGTGGTAGGCTATCTACCTATGTCTTTCTTTACTGAACCGAGAACGGATACAACTTGCCAAGTAGAGACTCCAGCTTGGTTATTAAATCACGTTCTACGTAGAGTTGGATATAACGGAATATAACGGATAAAATGGGTATAACGGATAGAGACAAATTGGGCAACTTTGTGGGAATAAGCTTCCTTACAAATTCAAGACACTTTACTTTAACCTTGTTTTCTTCTTCTTCTTCTTCTTCTTCTTCTTCTTCTTCTTCTTCTTTCATCTTTCATCTACACTCTTTTCTAGTGTATATTAGCATGTTTCGGTCTTTGAAGGATGGATTGGTAATGACTTTACACGTCGTTGGTAAGCCTTGAATGACAGAACTAGCAATAATGGAATGGAGCAGTATACTATAGTGCGATACTATTTTAGAGTCAGTATAACCTTTCTACAATATAGGATTAGCATAGGGCACTTACGGTAGCCCGGTTATGACTCGCCTCACTTTTCCAGTCACTGTGATTCGTGGATATGCAAGCGTAGTTGCGTAATATTCTAGAATATGGCTCATCACATGCACTGGTCTTCTAGCCCTGTAAGGCGTTTCAACCTCGACTCCATTTTCATCCATTACCCTTGGTAGTAATTTGGTGACTTGGTAAATGACTTGTTAAGTAGGTAGCACCAAGCTCGATTTGTGAGACGTCGGACAGTCTGCGAGAGAGAGGGAGACCAAATACAAGTAGTATCATGTCGTCTTAGCTAATCCCAACAGGGCAGCGCTTGGGTCTTCTCGCCTGCGTCGCTCGCATCGGCTACTCGCTCTTCGTCTGGAGCGGTTGACGGCTATTAATTCTCCGTGGTAAATATGGGGAAGGGCAATGCATGCTCGATAATCACCTGTTTGTGTTTGTTCGAGAGTCTCACGTGGGCTAAATCATGATGACTCTTAATCTTGTTGTTTAGCAAGGGCAAAATACCGAGAGAATACATAATGATCGGCACTAAAAGGCGATATTACTCCGAGAATAGATCTAGTCGCTCTCTCATCTTATGCAGCCACTTTGTCTCGTCGTACAATCAAGGAGTAACAGACTTGACAGTAGCATCAGAGACCTGTAACTACTATCCTACTAGCAATGCAATTCCAAGCTCATCAGTAGCCATTCCTCGCTGCCTCTTGTTTGGGCTTTGAGAAGAGAGAAGAGCCGTGGAGGTGATGAACTGCATGTAAGTGGCGCCGCTGTCTTGTGTCAGACGCCGTAAAAACTTTGTCATGCCAACCGCCAGGGATTGCCTTCTCTTTGGGGTAACTCCCAGCGGCCGCAATCCCGGTCCAGCGGCACTCGCCGTTCGTGCGCCGTCGTCCGGGGCTGAAAAAACTGGAATCCAGTCTAAACTGGTTGATTAACAAGCCTGGCCAAGGCACTTGACCCAATCGCGGCTGTCGGATTTGCCTTGCAGCTGCGAAGGCCCAGACTGGTGCTCCGGGGGCGGCAAAACAGCGCAAGGCTCAAGGCTTTCAGGGCATGTGGTCGCTGTTTGGGGGGGCCGGGAAACCGATTTAGCATCGCTGCCGGTACCTACTGTACGTCCTTCCAAGGTTTAAGCCGCCAATCCTTGCAACTCTTAATTCTCGTCCTCCCACTTTGCACGTCTCGCCTACTTTTGTTCTACGTGTATTCCTTTCATGTAATTCTCACATCCACATCCCCATCTCTGGATCCTTGCTGCCTCGCGCCATTTTTGCCATTGGACCCCTTTTGTCCTCGAGGACGACGCCAATTCTCTGCCCTACAGCCTCGCCGTTGCAATATACTGTAGACGCTGGACTGGGTGGCTGGAGCCATCCCCGCATTCGCACCTTGTTGCAGCTTTCTTCAACCTCTGGTCTCCGAGTGCGCCGAGCTCACAAGCCGACGGCCGACTTGCTCCAGCTTCCATCACGGCCTGCAGGGCGCAGAATGACAAATCACTAGAGGCACTAGAGGCCATTGGCTGGTCCCGTTGCCAGGAGCAGAGAGCAGAGAGCAGAGACCCCAGGAGCCGCGATACCTTCAGCAGACAGACTGCTTCCCTGCTATTCCAAGGGCAACTGTCCAAGACATCTCCCGAAACCAGCCTAACCCTGCAGACACATCTCAGAGGCTCGATGTGACATCGCGTGCCGACATATCAGATGCTAGCGCTCGATTTGGCCATTCTGTCCTGCATAATTCGCATATCTAACCCCGTATCTCGCTGCGCCGCGCCTCTCCTGCTCTAAGCACCCCGTCTATCCGTCTATCCACCTCTCCATCTGTCCATCTATATATCAATCAAACAAACGATTACGCCACCATGGACGGGAGCGATCCGCTCGCCGCCTCATCCTCAGCCCGGTCTACGCCCGCGTCCCAGCCAAAGAAAAAGGCCCGTCGAGGAACCGACTCGGCAAGCCAGAAGCGAAGATGCATCAGCACCGCCTGCGTTGCCTGTCGCCGGCGCAAGTCCAAGTGCGATGGCGCGCTGCCGAGCTGTGCCGCCTGTGCCAGCGTCTACGGCACTGAATGCGTCTACAACCCGAATTCCGACCATCGCCGCAAGGGAGTGTACCGAGAAAAGATTGACAGCATGAAGGCCCAGAACTCGACGCTGCAAATCATCGTTGAAGCAATCCTAAACGCCAACGAAGACGAGGTCCCCGAAGTCGTCAACAAGATCCGGACATGCGACAACCTCGACACCGTGGCCCAGGAGCTCTTGGCCATGAGCTCTGAAGTCAAGGAAGAAGATTTCGACGATGAGACTGACCATAGTGCCATGTCCTTCTTGCCCGTGCAAGGAGAACGGGAGCTGGCTGGGAAAATGGGAGAGCTGCGCCTGGAAAATGGCTCACTGCGCTTCATTGGCGGCACCTCTCATCTCATCTATCTGGGCGACCCTCACCACGACGACCTCACCTATGACTCGCCTTCAGAGCCGGGGACCTTCAACGAGAACCCCGTCACCTCCTGGACCCGCGTCACCACCGACCCACGCCTCATCATGCACCTGATGAATATGTATTTCAATTATCACTATCCCTACTTCACCACGCTTTCGAGAAAGCTCTTTTGGCGCGATTTCATGAGGGGCAAAGCAAGGCTTCTGCCAGGCACGGTATATTGTTCCTCGCTACTCGTCAACGCAATGCTGGCGCTAGGTTGTCATTTCACCGATATCCCAGGCGCGTTTGGCATACCCGGAGATAGCAGGACAAAGGGAGACCATTTCTTTGCCGAGGCTAAACGACTCATCACCGAGAATGACGAGTATGAGAAGCCCCGACTCGTGACCGTACAAGCTCTGGCCCTCATGTCCGTGAGAGAGGCGGGATGCGCAAGAGAGGCCAAGGGCTGGGTATATAGCGGCATGAGCTTCAGGATGGCCCTCGACATTGGTCTCAACCTCGAGGTGGATGGATTGGACAAGGAGCATATGACGGAAGAAGAGATTGACGCTCGGCGCATCACCTTTTGGGGATGTTTCTTATTCGACAAGACTTGGTCCAACTATTTGGGACGCCTGCCGCAACTCCCTAGACACTCCTTCACTGTCTCCAAAATCGACGTCTTCCCCGACGAAGACGCTGCGCTATGGTCGCCATTTACCGACAAGGGATTCGACGAATCACTCGCTCAGCCGTCGAGAACGCGAGCAGCTGCGCTCCACTTGTCAAAGCTGTGTGAAATCAGCAACGACATACTTGTCTTCTTCTACCATCCGAGCCATATAAAGAGAGCTAGCAGCAAGTCTCTCGAACTCAAAAGGCTTGGCGAGCTTCATCAACGACTCGAAGAATGGCGGAAGGATCTGCCCAAAGAATTCGAGCCAAAGGAAGGCTTGCTGCCAAATGTGATATTGATGCTGTAAGTGGGCCGTGTTTTAAACCTGACAACCTACTGAGAAAATGTAGATCTTAACTAACATATCTTTTTTTTTTCATTTAGCTCATTCTTCCATCTCCAGTATATCCACCTCTTTCGACCATTCTTGAAATATTCGCCATCCACATCTCCTCTACCCTCCCACATATCTCCAAGGCGAATATGCACCGCAAATGCGGGTGCTATTTCCAAATTAATGAGATTATACAAGAAATCATGGAATCTTCGACAAATTTGCAATATTGCGGTCTACATGATTCACAGCGCATGCACAATCCATCTGCTCAACCTCCCGGAGAAGACTGCCAAGAGAGACCTCAATCATGGTCTTCGACATCTGGAAGAAATTGCCGAAGATTGGCTCTGTGCCAGGCGGACGCTGAGCATTCTTAGTGTTCTGGCAAGGAAATGGAGGTGCGAACTACCGGAGGACGCAGAGATGATCCTCAAGCGCACAGATGAAAGATTTGAATACTACAGCACATCTGAAGTTCCATCGCCTGGATCGAGCAGCAACGTAGCACCTACATCGCCGGGTATCTCGGAGGAAGGGACAGCTGTGGCTGCCAGGCTCGAGTATGGACAGATTAGACACCCCAACTCGGAGCCTATAGCGCAACCTGCACTGCAAACGTCTATTGAGGAGCGCATGTCGTTGGACTCGCCACTAGCTATGACCAACGGCAATCCTCTCCCCGGTCAGCAAGTCATGGCCATGGATCCTACGCAAATGGACTTTCAAGAAATATTAAACGCATGGCCACAACAACTTAACATTCCCCTAAATTCACAATCTCCTGACCTATCGTCCACTACACAGAGCCAACTATCGTCGAATATGAGCCTCAACCCGAGTCAACACCTTAATATTGACAGTCGGGAGTGGCTACTGAGCGATTCGGCACGACTGCACCAAAGCTTCGGAAGCTGGGACATGAGACAGCAGCAGCAGCAGCAGCAGCCCCGAGGGCCTCCAACAACAAATGGCATGTTCATGTTTAGCAATGGTCAGGCAGATGGCGCTACGGTTGAGACACCTGACTTGAGCAATTTTGATTCACTTAGTGAGTCTTTGACGACGATTAATACCTGGCTGCCGCCGGGACTGGAGTAATGAGAGGGCTCGGTTTTTTTTTCGGAGTTTGTAGCTCTCACGATCTTTTTTTTTTTTTCTTTTCTCATTGTTGCTATTTTTTTTCTAAATGAGATAAACTAATGGCTACGTACATATGTCTGCATATTGATATCTTTTCTTGAGGCAGAAGAAAAAAAAGTCATGGAAGTAGGGCGTCAATGTGTATGTATACAGCACTTTTAGGCAGGGCAGCATGGATCGGGATTTTATGATGGATGAGGGAGGGTTTGCTTTGTTTGAATTTAATCTCAAGAGCAGGGTAACCATTGAAAAATGGAATTTTATACTCCTCGTCATCGTACGTCACAAGATACCCTCTTTTTCCGTAAGCAACCAAACCATGCCTATGTATGTAACGTTTTATTGCTGTAGCCGCCGAGAAAGCAATATAATTTAATTGTCTCTTCTCACTCTTTTGTCTGACAATTTCTCTCTTCTTCCTACTGTTTTAGGACTGTGGCCCATGAAGTACACATTCCTACCTATTTATCTGCTGCTGTCCCCATACATACATAAACGGGGCGCTGGGGATGTTTATTGCAAAGAAAGTGGGCTGGGGTACCTTGAGCACGTTATTGTCACTGGCGGTTAGCGACCAGCGTCAGGTCAACATACAACATACAGTATGGGAAAGACAGGCCAGACGTGCGATATAATACGGGGATCCTACAAAGAAGCGGCTACACGCTATCTGCGGATATCTGATGATTTACCTTCTGTCAATTGCACATCCCCCAGAAAAGACAGGGGTCGCACGCACCTTGTAGAGAGAAAGAGGGAAAAACAAGGGCATATCGATCTTAGGGCCGACTGCTCCTTTTCTTGTGAGGATTGTTAGACGCCGGGCCTCCTTTGGCTTTGACTTTCTTTTCGCAAGGCCCTCATGACTTCCTTAGAGACGCCACGCCAAGCGGAAAGAAAGAGAGGGATGAGGACATGTGTACCTCGACGGATGTTCGGATTTTCTCCCACCGTCGACGGCATTACTCTCTCCTCATCCCCTCTTTTATGCTCTAATTATTGTTTTCGATCTAGACGCCGATGGGAGGGTCGATTGGGGTAATTTTTTTTTTTTCGGCGCTTCACCCCGTCGTACTGCTAGTGGAAAGGAGGAGGTGCTGGGGGAGACTGGACGAGAGCGGGCCATTCCGAAAGCCATCTTGCACACGTGAACAGGCAGGGTAGAAACAACGGCTGGGCTCCGTACCGCATGTACACACATACGGTAGATACAGTATGTATGTTTAATGTACCTATGTATGTGTGTATATATGGACATGGGGAGCCATAGGCCAGCAGATCACCATCACTCCCTCCAAGTCGAGGGGAGCCTTGTTTCCTATAGAGTATGTAAGAGAAGTCATCGCGTCAGAGAATCAGGAGAGGCACTGGCCCTATCAGGATGCTAGAGAAAGTCCTTGGTTAGAACAAACATGGGATAGGCGCCGGGATAAAGGGGTTACTGTAAGATTAAGAGGATGGAGAGTGACGTACCACATGAACAAACGACAACAGAAAAAAAAAACGGCAGACTAGTACTAAAAGCTGTCGGCCGTGTCTTCCATCTTATAAATGAGAGGAAATGAGAATCGCAATCCAACAAGGGCTGCCTCGAAACAAGCAACGCAAAAGATCCAAGCATAGGCAGAGCTAGTATTAGTATCGCCATGCCTTGCGAGAAAGCGGAGCTTGGAGGCCCTGGACACGGCACTAGTGTACCTGTAAGTGAGTCTTAGGCCAAGCGAAGTCCCGTGTGGAGAGATGAAGGACAGAAGGAGAAATGGATGCCCCCCATAACATCTCATATTCTGACCGGCCGAAGTGCGGGATGAGGGTCCACGGTCCACCAAAGTAGAGGCAGAGTGAAGAGGCATACCATACCGCATGCTTGAGCTGCGGCAGACATTGGCCTTGATGAGACTCCCCAGACGTGAGATTATGGGCCCCCCTTGCTGGATCAAGTAACGATAAGACGCCGCTCGCTAGACAGGGGAACGAAAACGCGCCCCAGTCGGCCGCAGGACATCTTGACGATGAAAGGCATCGGCCCCCTCAGAAGCGCAAGTCATGAGCACTTGACCAGCTTTTGCCTGCCCCAGCATGCACGCACAGGCGAAAAAGTACGGGGTAGACGGGGGGCGGGAGCGGGAGATTGAGATTCAAGTCTATCGAGACTCTCTTTCTCTCTCTCTCTCTTCGCCAATGCCTTGAGCCAATCCCTCAATTGCTAGTGTAACTTGTAGGATGTCTGTCTGGGTTCGCGCCACGCGGGCCTTCCGCTCCTTTGCCGAGGGGGCAAGGCAGCAGGCAGGAAACGTTTGAACAGACTATTGAAGAGAGTACATGATCAGCATTCTTTCATCTATTCCGTGGCAAGATTTCCTGTGTCATGCGGATAGGACCGGCATTGGCGGCGGCGGACGAGGGGATGGGGGCAGTGCGTGAAGAGATTTCCCAGCTTCCCTTTGATGAACAGACAGACCAGTAGACCAATATACACGTACCCCTAATATCCAATTGAATAGCTCAGCAGCTGGAGGAGGAGGAGAAAGAGGAGGAGAAAGAACCAATAGACCTGCTCACGATATTGCGTGTCCCAGTCCCAAGTACTTTGTGGTATCAGCTTTCGGAGAGAATTGGACGTTTGTCTCTGGGAGAAGGTGCACGAGCTCTACGGAGTAGGTACAATGTTGGAAAACAAGTTTAATAATGCCATCTCCTGATTCTCAAGTTGAGGAGAATGAGGGTTGCCTTTTCCCCTCGTTTGTAATCCGGAGTTTCTCGATTCCTCAGAGTTTAACCTTTTGCCATTGCCGAGCAAGTCTAGAACACATCAACCTTGAAGCATTGGTCCGCCGTCTGGCCGGTCTCCTCTCTTACGAGCGAACGGGCATTCCTTTGAGTTGCAATTCAAGTCCATGTCAACAGTCAGACCACATCCGCTCGAGCTGCCTTTGGGGAACCCTGACGGTCGATCAAGCTTTTCCCCCGCGGTGGCGTCGCAGGCCAAGAAGCGGCTCCTGTTGATGGGCTGAACGGCAAATTGTCATGATAGATCGTGGTCGTCACAGTTGTATGTCGGCGTTTTTATTTCACGCGTCACCAGCTTTTTCCAAACATCGGACGATGTTCTCCCGCCCGCATTCAGCTGCGACGACGAGGCTTGGGAGGACATGGACCTGGTTTTGAGTATTTGGCGGGGAAACGGGGAAATGGGGAAATGGGGAAAACCTGGAGAAGCGATATACTCCGGAGTGACAGCTTGACAGATGATGGAATCCCCCAGATCTTGCCCTTGGCAAGGTTGCTGAGCAGCGTTGCATTGCGCGCAAGTGATGGGATGCTAATATACTGTAGGCTGCTCGGCCGTCGCAGCAAGGTTCGTGATGGGAACCGCTCGACTCCAGGCTCAATTCATTAGGCAACGGATCAATAGCTGGTCTATGGGTTGCAGTGACGCCTCTCGTGAGCGCTGGCGCCTCTGTCAGTGGCTGCAAAACTCCGGGGTTCGGCCCGAGTACCGTTGGGGCCACATGCAGGGCATAACGCTCTTGGAGTTTGAAAACAGGACCCTTGCCAGGGCCACTGCCTCTCTGCTTGGGCTTCGGCGCTATTGCTGGAGGAGGTGTGGCCGATGGCCGGCCCAGTTCGTCTCAAGCAGAGTTGCCCTTGCGGGAATGCCTTTCGGTACAAAGTACAACAAGGGAGCCAGGCCTCAAAGTCTAAGTGTAATCACACATGGAGTACGGCTCGGAGCGAGGGTGGTAAACGTACTAGCATGCGCATACCGGGCTTGGTCCACCAATGAGGCCCGCGTCGACACCACCCTCCCCGCCAATCTTAACTCCCCGTGCTCGCTTTCGCAGTGTCATTGATGCGGTAGCGGTTATCGACCGGTAATCCGTGGGTTCAAGGGGGGAAAACTTGATCGCGCTTATGTTAGTACGACGAGGTGCCGAGAGGCGTCTTTATAGTCTAGAATAATCGTAATGGATAGACGTAAATCTCAATGTCTCAACTTTGGTTGTTTATATCTGCCGGGCGGTACCAGGTACTTGGATTCAGGACAGGTAGGCCTGCCTACTTACTTGTATATCAACCGTGCCCAGCCCGTGTCAAAGTGTTTGCCTTTGTCCTGCAGCTAATGCCGAATTCTCTCAAGGCAAGGTGATCGGTATGCTTCGTCGGACTGCTTCGTCGGACTATTATGCACAGGATATTGAAGCCATGAATGCTAAACTAGTTGAATGGCCTGGTTAGCGCTTTTAGATGTTGCATCTCTTACTGCGTTTGGGAGCTGGCCAGTTCAAGCGCAAGCACTCAGACCTACCTACTTTATGCGTACAAGCCTCCGTCTGCTAGCATGATCCGAAGCTTTCTCGCCGGCGTTGCACTGGCAATGCAAGTGTATCGCCGTGTCTCATCTGCCCATGTCTGCGGGATGCTTGCGCCAGATCCCGAGGTACGGTGGTGGTGTACAGCCGCCGTGGAGTTGGAGAGTGGAGTGTTTGTAGGAGTTATTGAGAGCTCCAACTCTGGTTCGAGCCTAGTCCATCTGCCGCTTTCATGTGCCTTTTGTCATTGCAGTGCCATGTTGGTCTAGCTCATTGCGGCATAAGGCCATCTGTTAGTGAGTGGGCGGGTGGACGATGCTAATTTGGTGGTGTAGATGCGAGAAGCGGCGGACGAGGCTCCGTGATAAACGGAATCCGCTTTGGACTCTCGTGCTCTGATGTAGCCTCATAGGCCAGCCTCTAGATTACATAATGCGCATCGCTGTTGCGTGCCACCCAACTTCCAAGGCCAAATACGAGGTGAAGAAGAGATGCCTTTTCGTTGTTGATGGGCTGAAGTATGTCAAAATGGAGATGGATGCGATGCACGTGACTCGTGATACCCAAAGCACGAGCCTCGTAACCTCAATGTTCCCAGAACCGCCCAACTGGGCAGCCATCTGCCCTTGCACACATTAGCAGATCTACAGCCATGTATCGAGCATGAGCAGAATGTCCCCTCTCTGCGTACCTAGTAGGTACAAACACATCACCATGCTTCTCGCCTGCGATTCATCACTGCGTCAATTTCAATGCTCAAAAGAGCTTGAATTGGTGGTCAAGCCCATGCCACACCATTGATACCGGATTGTCAGTGAAAAGGGCCCAATCCCCGGGAAATCGCCAGCCCATCAGACGCATACAACTGCGATTCACTGTGAGAGACGTTGCCCACATGACTCTAGGTTATGGAGCATTGGTTCTCGCTGCTCATTATGCCTACAGTGAAACACAGCCAATTTCACCATCTACCAATGCTGATGCGTTGAGCTTGAAGCAGTCAGACAACTGAAACCTCCTTATCATTATGCACTAAAAGCCTCAGTCGCAGCGAGCGAATGAAGCAGCAAAACAGCGAGACTTTTGGCATCTGCCCGGAGCTCTGGGGACACTTTGCCAACACAAGTGCTGTCGATCCGCAGATCTCGTTAGATGCCGCTCTTTAACCTTCTGAAATGGGAGCTTCTTCCGGGCGCTAGGTCAAGGAACTTTGTCCACCGAGAAGTCTGTGCGTAGCGCATCACAGCCAAAGTCAGCTTGGCTGGAGGCACAGGAAACAACAGAGGGCAGTTATTCGTCCTTGTCAAGTTGAGATGAATCGTTTCGTCGGTTTCCAAGGAGATTTATCATGTGAATCACAGCATATATCCCGGCAGAAGTTCCGATCTTCAGCCAATGGTCGAACAAAGTTGATGCACCTACCACATTCGTCACAAGCGCCGTTCAAAGATGGTCCCAGGGGCCTTTGTTATCTGTCTGTTGATCTTTAGAGTTTCTAATGTTAAATAGGTAGGGCTGACCATCATCACTGCTTGTCCAAGGCCATCTGCTCATCAAAGAGAAGAGATTATAAGTAAACGGAAAGGGAGGGAGAAGACAGAAAGCAAGAAGACAACCAATTCTCGCGCCAACTGCAGCCATCTCTCAAGATTCACGCTTCAAGATGTACTCTTATAACGCCGTTTCTGCCTTGGCTGCATTCGTCTCTGTTGCCGCCGCGGCCTCCAAAGTGTGTCCTAGCAGTTCTCCACTCTCTTGCCACAACACTACCGCCGTTGAAGATACCTGCTGCTTCATTCCATCTGGTCAGCTGCTCCAGACTCAATTCTGGGATACCAATCCCCCAACGGGCCCCTCTGGTAAGCGAATGAATGCCTGCAGCCTAGCAGGATGCGACTCATTATGACTTTCCAAATGAGGGATGATGACCTAACGATGCTTCTAGATTCCTGGACCGTTCACGGACTGTGGCCAGACAATTGTGATGGGTCGTTTCCCCAGACATGCGACAGTAGTCGAGCGTACACTAATATCACCGATATCTTGACTGCCATGAATGCCAGCAGCACTCTTGACTTTATGCAGACGTACTGGAAAGACTATCAAGGCGATGATGAGTCTTTCTGGGAGCATGAATGGGGCAAGCATGGCACCTGTATTTCTACCCTGGATCCCAGCTGCTATGAAGACTATGTGCCCACCCAAGAAGCCGTTGATTTCTTCTCCAAGACCGTCTCACTGTTCAAGACGCTGCCTACCTACCAGTGGCTTGCTGATGCCGGAATAACTCCTGACGGCTCCAAGTCCTATTCGCTAGACGACATCCAGTCCGCCCTCTCTCAGCAACACGGCGCCGATGTGACGCTCGGCTGCGAGGGCAAGAGTCTGAACCAAGTCTATTATCACTTCAACGTCCAGGGCTCTCTGCAAGACGGCAAATTCGTTGCGGCAGCACCTGACGGATCCAAAAGCACTTGTCCCGATTCTGTCTACTACGACCCCAAGAACGGAGGCGATGGCGACGACGGTACGAATTAATTTCCGCCAAGATGGTGACACGGGCAAATTGAGCCCTGGAATAATACCTACAGGGAGCACAAGCATTGGGCCAAGGCAGACGGGGAAACACAGAGCAGTGGGATATACCTGGAGTAGCATCCGAAGCGCTACCTATAAATGAGATGAAGAGTGTGGGGATCACGGGCGGCTCGGAGGGTTGGGGAAAGGGAGGGGGGTTTATTTTGTTCATGCATGTATATTTGCGATTCGTCATGTATACTACATCGCCATCTTGTGACTTGCCGGTAGTGGCGATGGCATCTTTCGGCGATTTGAGAGTCGAGAAATAACCCGTTCTGATATCCCCAGCTTTTCTGCTAGATAAATTGCGACTTGGCCGCCGGCGCAGAGATGGCGGGCAAGCAATGTACTGCTCTAACAGCCGGAGCTAGCAGGCTGCCAACACCCTAAATAGAGCGCTGCTAGTACCACACGCTGCTGCGACGCCGTGCTGGCACACTCCGGTATTACACTCCGGTACGCTCCGGTACAAGGAACAACAGCAGCAACAGCAGCAACAGCCACAGCCAAACGGTGCCGCAGAAGGGCAAGTGGGCCAGCAATAAAACGTGACGGCGCGATGCCCTGGCGCTTCCTCGCTGCCAAGCCAAGAGATTTTTCTCTCTTCTACGGCACAGTAAAGCGGCGGCGGTCAGGCACTAAAGCGAGCCCAATCACAGGCTAGCAAGGCGAATTAAAGCTGTCTGCCGCGAGATGTGGTTGGCCACGGCGGGCTGCTTCTGGTTCTAACCGCAGAGACGCCGCCAGCTTCCCGTGGTTCCTGTTCCAAGATGCCCTTTCTCCGCGCACCGCACCGCTCCGCCTGCACGGCTTCAGGGTTGAGTCTGACGTGCGTGCCGTTGCTTGCTTCGTATTCGTGCCTCTCTTCTGTTGGCTGGCCTGTCGCGGGCATTCGCCAATTCTGATGCTGTCATACTTTTTCCAATCCTGAAACCATCGCGTCTCTTTTCCTCTTTTGCCCTTCTCTTCCTCTTATATAGACACACGGATGCCTCTTCGGTCCCTCTGCAGCAGCGCGATCAGAGATGCAGTCAGATGAGGGGACGGATGCCAAAATTTTTCCTCGCTTAGCCCAACGGAGACCTTTTCCGAGCAGCGACTCCCTCTTGTTTTCTCCCCTGGTCCGATTGTCATTTGTCTGCACGCCCTGTTCTTCGCCCATCTGGTTGGGGGCAGCCAGCACCAGCCCAAACCGTGGCGCCACTTGGGCCGACCCCATACTCGCCGCATGGCCCCCCTGCACCATTTCCAGAAGTGTCTAGAGTGGCTGGACGCTTTGGGAAAGGCCTCCGACTTGCCATCTTGCTGAGCTCAGGTCCGAGGGCGCGGCTGATGGACGGTTGGAGCAGCAGCCACTGCCCACAAAGAGGCTGGCCGGTCTGGCACCAGCGTCAGGTCCAGGCCGCCTAAGCAGTAAATGGCCGCCGGGATGCCGCCAAAGGGCCTGCCGTCGACTCGGCTTGGACTCGACTTGGACTCGACTTGGCTACTAGCCAACCCCGCATAATCGTTCGCTGCTGAAACCGGCCCTTACCACCGGCAATAAGTCTTCGATACGCGTGGAGGCGTGTGGGAGAGCCAGTTAATGCATGTACCTGGAACCGGGAGGGCTCTGACAGGCCCCTGCGAGTTGCCCGACAAATTAGCATCGGAAAATACGACGGAGGGACGCGGCTCTCTCCACGAAACGGCATGTGTCGATTCGCCGACTCGAGACGCTGGGCAGAAAAAAAAATGTTCCGTTCTTCATCTCAACGTTGGTCGTGCGGCGGCGGAAACGTGGATTGGTAGCTTTGCTCTGCATGGATTGATTGCCGCTCCCAGGCCTTTCCCTGTCGCCCCAATCAATCTATTCCACGGCCAGCCACAGCCGTGTCGTTGCAGAAACGGCCGCCTCGTGGCGACAACGCCCTCTACAGTACAGGGCATGTGTGCTGCTGTTATTGCTGTTATTGCTATTGCTGCTATTGCTGCTGCTGCTACAAGTACTTACTGTACCTTGTATACCGCTGCCTCTGCCTCCACCCCCCTACTTGGATCGTTGATGTGGCGTGCCCGAGAACCATGGGACGAGCCTCTCCAACTGCTGAGGCGGAAACACCTGCTGGCAGCAGCAGCAATGTGATGATGCTAGGAACTACTAGTATCTCCGAAATTCCCTTAGCTATACAATAGCAAATCGCCCTAAGGACGCGCTCCAATGGAAAACGCATTACGCACCCCAGCGTCTCCACTTGCAAGTCCACCTCCACAAGCTGCTCCATCGCCGTCCTATTCTCCAGCCATCCATGACCATCACTTGGCCACCCTCTCCGCCTCCACACCATCGACGGCTTGCCATGCCTGCCCACCCTGGCCTGGCGAGGTCTCTTCTGGAGACTGGCTTGACTGGGGCCCTCACAAGGCTTGTCTGATGGAGGCCGATGCATGGAGCGAGCAGCAATAAAAATTGAGAAGCGTCCCCATATATTGCCTTGATGATGGAGCTCTCTTGTCGTGTTTTTTAACAAACACCCCCCCAGTCTCTGTCATCGCCACGACTTCTCACGCTGCATCGCTTTTGTTTGTGTGATTGCTGGTGATCTTTTGCGATTACTGGGCGGCAGGCGAGCAGCTTGTGAATGTGCTCACGATAGGGATTTTTTTTTAAAGCTGCCTTTTCCCCTTTTCCCCTCTTTATACCCTCGCAATCACCTAGTGAGAGCTGTCGTCTTCCTTTTCTCTTCCTTTTGGCGGGTCAAAGTTTCGTCAAGAGACTGATTGCTGCCGGAATATCTCACTTTTTGAAGCATGTCGATCTAGCGAGCAGCATTCACCTCATTCCAACACTCTCCTTTGAAAGCCTGCTTTGTGGCAGCGGCAGAGCCTGGTGCAAATCTTATTTTTGCCGTGATTTGCTCTATTTGACGGCTACATACTCCTCCAACGCGTGCCCATCTCACGGATAAAGCCGCAACAACAGCAACCGCAGCTCACGTTTCCAAGCGGCCATCATTTCAGAAGCATATCGGATTGAACCATTTCCGTCTTGCTTTTGATCCCCTCTTCCTCGTCTCCCTTACTCGCCCCAACAGTAGCTTGAAAAGCCTTACATACGTTTACCTCCATCAAGCAACAAGACGCCATCATGTTGTCGAATCCGCTCCGCCGCTATTCAGCCTATCCCGACATCTCCTCGGCATCCTTTGACGCCAATTATCATGCGTCTCAAGCTCACCTCCACTCGATAAACGTCAACACGTTTAACAACAACCACCCCTATCCTATCCAACATCTCTCGCAACATGCTGAGCTTTCAAATGCGCGTATGCTGAGGTCCAACCCCCCTCAGCCAAAGCAGCAACGGCAGGGCTCACTCGTTGCAGGGAGAAAGAATTCGACGGGGACTGCCGGTCCAATTAGAAGGAGAATCAGTCGAGCTTGTGATCAATGCAACCAGCTGCGTACTAAATGCGACGGCTTGCACCCCTGTGCTCACTGCATAGGTACGGGCTTCTCTCTCCCATACCCCGAGGCAATGCCTCTCTATCCAGGGACATTGGTATGCTGACCATTTGCCAGAATTCGGCCTTAGCTGCGAGTACATCCGAGAGCGGAAGAAGCGAGGCAAGGCATCGCGCAAGGACATTGCTGCTCAGCAGGCCGCGGCCGCGGCTGCGTCAGGATCACAGCATCCCGGCCAAGTTCAGGACAGCCAAGACGAGCAGCACCATCGCAAGCTGTCCCGTCATCAGAGTGAGTCTTCACGCGGCAGCGCTGATCTACCGCAAGCTGCCCACGACCCACCTCACGGCCATATCGAAGGCTCTGTCAGCTCCTTCAGCGACAACGGACTGTCGCAGCACCCTGCAATGGGCGCAATGGAAGGCCTTGAAGAGCATCATGGTCACGTTGGAGTTGACCCTGCCCTGGGAAGAAGTCAACTGGAAACGTCGTCGGCAATGGGGCTGGGTGCGTATGGCGAAGTACACCCTAGCTATGATAGCCCTGGTATCAATGGCCATGTCATGGTCGCCCAGCCGTATGGCGCTCCGCCGACTACCATGCCCGGCTACTCTGGCATCAACTATGCTACACAAGCCCAGAGCCCAGCAACCTATAGCAGCGATGGAAACTTCCGTCTCGGCGCCGGCCACATTCACGAGTATCCTCTGGCCAATGGGAGCTCACCTTCATGGGGTGTTTCTCTGGCTTCTCCTGGCGGCCAGTTCCAGCTCCAGCTGTCGCAGCCCATGTTCAAGCAAAGCGACCTGCGATATCCTGTCCTTGAGCCTCTGCTGCCTCACCTGGGGAACATCCTCCCCCTTTCGCTGGCATGCGATCTGATCGACATGTACTTCTCCTCTTCATCATCGGCACAAATGCATCCCATGTCTCCTTATGTTCTAGGATACGTGTTCCGAAAGCGCGCCTTTCTGCATCCTACCAACCCAAGGAGGTGCCAGCCCGCGCTGCTTGCGAGCATGCTGTGGGTAGCAGCGCAGACTAGCGAGGCGTCTTTCTTGACAAGCCTGCCTTCTGCGAGAAGCAAAGTCTGCAAGAAACTACTCGAGTTGACCGTTGGACTTCTTCAACCTTTGATCCACACGGGCACAAACAGCCCATCTCCCAAGACCAGCCCCGTTGTTGGCCCGGCCGCTCTAGGTGGCCTTGGTGTTGCCATGCCGGGTTCAATGAACCTGGATTCTTTAGCTGGCGAAACGGGTGCTTTTGGAGCCATTGGAAGCCTCGACGACGTCATCACATATGTGCACCTCGCAACAGTCATTTCGGCTAGCGAGTACAAGGGCGCCAGTCTTCGGTGGTGGGGTGCAGCATGGTCTCTTGCCAGAGAGCTCAAGCTTGGCCGTGAACTGCCAGTCGGCAATCCACCTGCCAGCCAAGAGGACGGCGAGGCCACCAGCGAAGACGTGGATGAGCACGACTTGAACAGAAACAACACTCGCTTCGTCACAGAA